CACTTGCTGGGCCTCAGATGCCTGAATTGTGGTGCAGGACATCAACAGATGCGTTGCCGCATTTAGTTCCACCTTGCGGTTTTCCCGATACAAGCGGCAGATCTGGGAAAAAAACTGACAAAGGTTACTTTGCAATAATAAGTTTTTTGTAAAAAAATATGCCCTGCAAACATAACTAACCTTCAACTTGGGGATAAATGTCAAGTGATATCACAATCAAGATATACTACTCTATCTGGAATATTTAGAATTTATTCAATATAATTATACTGTTAAATAGATTTGTCTTAATTTTTTTTCAAAATCTTTTTATGGTAAGTGTAAGGGTGGTAATCCTAACCTTAACCTAAAGTTTTCAATGATAAAATTTCTGAGTACCCTAAATTGAATGGGTTAACAAATGGTACAAAAAAATGTCTTTTAAAATGCATCTACCTCTATAGTGGTACCTGTAGGTGACAACAACCTGCCACAAGAATATGCTTCTTATTTTTATTATGTAAATATTTTTCCAAGCACATGCACTTATTTCTTTTGATACTTCATGGCCAGTATGATCATGCATTGAAATGGTAATTTCTAGCCGAGACGGATTTCTCTTGGCAAGCTTTATCTTTGCCTGGCATACCAATTTGAAAGAACTGAAAAATATAAAAATTCTCAACGAATTGCCAAAAGTGGTAAGAATCATTGGCTTGGAGAAAGAATTATTACTTGACAAGACCAACTAAATTTAAAGTTAACCAGGTTCATAGACACAACTTAATTTCCAAAACTGAAGTCAGGTATTCGCCAAAAAGGCATTCCTTGATTTTAAATTTCAGACAAATTTTCTCAGAAGGGGTTCACACCCCTCCCCAGACCCTTTTCATTTCCGATTCCCCCACCCCGATAAAAGTAACATTACTGGCACCTTTGTATGTACCCGGTATACACATACAAAGAAACCTGTAGATGGTAAGATAGTAGTAATATAATGATTTTCTTAACTGACAAAAATATTATTTCCCTTTAATCTTGTACAAAATATTTGGACTATACGTGTCCTTATATATTAGAATCAAGGGGTGAAAGTAAGATGGGACCAAAGGCACACCATCAGGGCGCCAAAACTGGGTGAATTCGTTGTTTTTTTTAATGGCTTGGGCGCTGGTCCTCATTGTGCTTACTTTTGGAATGTATAAACGAAGTGGTTATTCACACCAGGGTAGCAGAAGTGAGAGGTTGGGATTAAAAAACGATTTAAAATATTATTGTTGATTTTGTAAGACAAAACGAAATATCAAATGAAAGATGATTGAACGGACTATATGTTTGTAAGATTACTTCTTCAGGGGCCCTAGTGCATTGCTGTGCCCAGGGCCTCTTATGTTGTTAAGACGGCCCTTGTTGCTTCCAAAAATATGATCCCAATTTTGTTACAATATTTCTATAGTTGTGGAAATTCATCAGCCAGAATTTATTTGGCCGTGCATTCTTATATTTGTTTAAATTTATATTTTAAAATAATACTCTCAAGAAAACTCCTACTGTCTCACACAATTCCTCCCTGACTGAGTCGCACTAACTGCAAACAATCACAGCGTTTGATCCTGCTTTCTACTCTTGATCTCTGAATACCAGGTATGTGTCCCCGGCGTCACAACAATACAGGATGGGTACACACTCTCTCATAAGTGGCTAAAGTACCTTTTGAAATATCATTGTGCCATGAATGGTTCACACTGTCCACCGGCATATGTATGGCATCCTTCCGTCTTTGTGAGACGATGGAGTAGCTATATAGCTCTACACTTTGACGAGTGGCTCACTAGGCCAATCCTTGAATGGCAATCACGGCCGCATCTCTCGCAGGAGAATATTGAATCCCGGTAAATTCTTGTTCTTTTTGATTCAATGGCCTCGTTTTGAGTATCTTCTGCCTTTTTTACTCCTTCAAACACCGCTGTTCGCCAGTTGCAGCGATGTTCGGCAATGAACTCCCATTCGTTTGTTTCAATATTGGCTTCCCTCATGCTTCGTTTGCAAACGTCAATAAATCTCAGGCGCGGTCGTCCAATATGTCTTGTCCCTTCTGCCAACTCTCCAGACAGCAAAATCTTTGGGATACGTCCTTCCTCCATTCTCCGTACTTGACCTAACCAGCGAAGGCGCCTCTTGATTAGAAAGGAAAATATGCTAAACATGTGTGCACGTTCCAAAACCTCCACGTTAGGCACCCTGTCCTGCCAACGAATGCGCAAAATGCGACACAGACATCTTTGATGGAAGCTGTTGAGTTTCCGCTCCTGGCTGCTATATGTGGTCCACACTTCGCTACCATATAGGAGCATGCTAAGCACGCATGCCTGATAGACACATATTTTTGTTTTATCAGTTAGATTGAGATTATTCCACACCCGCTTATTCAGTTTAGCCATAGTTGCTGCTGCTTTTGCAATCCTGATATTTATCTCTTCATCAACGCCATAGTCATTCTATTATGACACCTTTGGAACCTCAGGTCCTTTCTCGATTACTGTGACCCGAAAACTTACCTGGCAGTAGTTAACTCACCTATGGTCACCTATCTATTTCATCTAACTTGGTCCCATTGGTGACGGCATGGCTATATTTACAATGACCGAATAGCTGCACAAGTTACTTTTGGTTTCCCTATTCATCTTTCCCAACGCCTTTAGTAATTATACATGATACCCTGCGACGCCTCCCCTCTCCAAGCAACTGACAGAACGAGAAGATAGTATCTGATTTTATATCCCCCAGGTTGCAAAAAGGTTGCTTTGTTGATGTGCTTACCATAAATTTCTGCCTCCTGTCAAGTCATTCGACTCCTTAGCTTTTGTGACCACCCCATTTCTATGTTACAACTTTCCCTGTGCTCTCACGTGATTTCCCAACAATTCTAAAACAATGAACAATTCTAAAACAATGAATTTGCTTTGAAAATATTTTTACCCTAAAATGTTTGATTTTTGACACACACAATTAAAATTTCGCAAGCTGTCTCAGGCCATTTCAAATAAGCGAGGGTTGCATGGGGCCAGCATGTTAGACAGCACTACTCTAGACCTTGGGCTTGGTAAATTTTGTAATGTGGATCATGTCAGTCGTGATTCGGGAGTTCACTATTAATATTAGTAATTAAATAATTTACAGTTTAAAAAATGCTAGTACATTGTTGATTATTCAATAATAATATTGATACCAAACTAATTCACCCAACCAGTCACAAAAAAAAAAAAAAAAATTAATATGAAGGATTTGTAAAAAGATCTATACATTATATTTTGTGATTTAATTTTTGAAAATCGTCTATCATCAACGATAACGGCGTGGCTGTGTATTCAAAATACGTGTCGTTCCTTTAGAATTTAGAAGGATGAGATTTCATTTCCCCACCTAAGGGGCCGTCCATAAAGTACGTCACGCGATTTTGACCATTTTACCCCCCCTCCCCCATGTCACAAACTGTCACAAATCTCGGACCCCCCCTCCCCAAGTACGTCACACTTTCGAACAAATTAAAAAAACAACAACACCTAATTAAAATTTTATCTAAAACACACTTCACTATTAAAGTGTATTAAAATATAACATTTTCACTTAAAAGAACTATCACATTCTTAAAATGACTTTAATAGTAGAATAGTTAATTGTCAGCAGTTGTCACAGTATTTCATTGAAGCAGTAACTCAATCTAGATTGAATTTGAAAACAAAAATTGAAAAAATTAGTCTAGACAATTATATAACACACATCATCTATCTGCTGCTTTTTCATTTAAATAGGTGAGGTCAAGTTTTAGATAATCTTCCGATTATGCAATCTTTTTACATAGGATTAGAAGTAGATTAGCGAAACTTGACCTAACCCAGTGATTAAATGATAAAAAGGACAGAGACATAATTATGCAGCGGACAACATATAAATAATAATACTTCAGGCATGACGAAAGCAAGGCTATACATAAAACAAGGCTTTGCAACAGCATACTAGTGCTCCTAGCGAGAGGAATCGTAAACAACACATTCAGGAGATACGCATTTCATGCTATTTTGATATAAAACTAATTCGAATGTTTCACAAAATTTTTGAAAATTTGTTTTATAGCTATTAAATTCTACTACAAAAATAACAAAATAAATAAGAAATGAAATTTAAAAAAAATAAATGTGTGACGTCACACATTCCCTGACCCCCGTCTCCCCTGTCACAAGCTGTCACACTTTCTTACACCCTCTCCCCCCCCCCCTTTTTTTCCGAGCGTGACGTACTTTTATGGACAGCCCCAAAGCCTGACAAAAATGATGTAACCCCCTTTTTTTCCGAGCGTTACCTACTTTTAGTGACCGCCCCAAAGCCTGTCAAAAATGATTTAGATTTTTTTCCTTAAAAAATCCCCCCCCCCCCAACCTTAACTTCTATTGGAAGCAACTGCTTCTTTTCTACCATGTGTAGACGCCCCAGCTTGTCTACGCCATGCCATTGGAAAAAAAGGGTGGGTCGGGAATCATTGAATTCGTTGAGACCATTGCATGTCTAAAGAGACAACGCTGACACGACCATTGCCAATGGCCAGGGTATTACAATCATATATCACATTTTCGTTTTATTATAAAATTTATGTTAGTCTACATAATAATTTTGATAACGGTTTAAAAAATAATGAAGGTGTCGCAGTTTTCTAGCACTTTCTATATGGATTGAAGTAAATCATAAATTATTAGATCAGTATCAGAAAACACCCGACTTCTTATTCTTTCGGTGTCTTTTTTTCTGCATTTTTTATATTATCGTATAGCACAAGATCACCAATGTAATTTATTAAAAATGTACTATTACTATCGCTTGTGCAAAAAAGAAAAAAACAAACAAAAAACAAACAAAAAACAAACAAATAGTCTAAATAATGTAAACATTTTAGTAAAAAGTAAGGTAAGGGCTTACCAAAGTAAGTTTGTTCAGGTGTATTTTTCGTTGGAGAGTGATAATTAGTTAACCCTCAAAATGCCAAAGTAAGTCATGACACTGCCAGTCATGTAGGCCTATTACTATTACTATCACAGTATCAGTGACGTTGATAGCATAACTTTAAAAATAATAAAAACTGCTCAAATACTAAGATTATTACATCTTGAATTAAGATCATGGCCTTCCTTGTTTTACTTGGGTACGCCAGAACATCCTCAAAGAATGCCGTGTCTGCTGCAGGCAACGCATTTACAAGGCCAATGTATTCTTCAGTATTCTTGAACTTGAAACATGCCAAAAACAAACATGGCTCGATTGCTATTAGTCAGGTGTTAAACTGGTTAAAGAGATGGAAAGTTAGTCCTTTTCGTGGACTGCCTTCTAATTTCATGAGTCGGTCTTTTGCGTCTAAAAACCCTCTGGATGTTAACAGACAGATATTGCAAGATGCTCTAGTATACTCCCACAACAATGATAGCTTCTACAAAGCATTATCTTACTTTGGTATATTTCAATTGTCATTGTGGGGATACCTAGCCTTTTCAATTCAGGATCTTAGATTGCCAACAATAAGAGATGTTAATGATCCTCCGCTTTGGAAGAGATTTTTGTACAAAGAAGGACAGTATAAAAATGCTCTCAGTTTACTTAGCCTGATAGTGGGTAGGTCATTCAGAAATGCAAATTACATGTTTCATTTTTAAATTTAGGGATCTTTAGCAAACCGGTTATCAGTTTTAGAACTTTAGAAATCGGATTTTAAACAGGCTATCAGTTTTTTTACAGGGCTTGAGACCAGGAACGCACAGGAATGGTGTTCATGTACTTTTTTTTTGCTTAGCAAAACTGGCAAAACTATTAAATAGATACATATGTAATTAATTCATTTTGGATTGAGTGGTTATCTTGGGTGAGTTACCAATCTTTTTTCTCCATGACTTGACCCCCATTTACGATGCATTCCAAACTGTTCCATAAAGCCATGTCAGATGGACATGATATTTTATAAATTATAAGAATAAGATCGTATGCGGCCAGTCACATTGTGATACCACACTTTAGTACCATCCATGGGTGTAGGGAGATGGAATCTGCCATTTTGCCCTGGGAGGCACTTATTTTGGGATGGCATTTTTGGTCTACTTCATATAGCCTACTTTATAAATCGTAACTTTTATGTGTATTCACTTAACATAATTATTTTTATTAATTAAGGGAGTCAAAATAAAGGGAGACTCCAATCTTCCAACTTGTTTGTTAATATCTATCACAGAATAAACGTTTGCCATAAGACAACTACTTTTCCCATAAAAAACGCAAGTCAGCTATTATCAATGGTCACATAAGTGTAGCATTAATGAGTAGCCTACAATTTATAAATTATACAGCATCTTTATTTTTATAAATTTTTTTATTTCTTAAATAATAATAAAAAGTGGTTATTTAAAAAAAAAATACTTAAAAAGTGATAAGAAATAATTCAAATGTTGTTTTGTAAAACTCAACAACCTGCTATGCTTATCAGTTTTGAAACTGCTAACTGAAAATCTGATTACCATTAAACATCCTCATTTTTTAATTATTGAACAGGTCCTGCATTTTAAAAAAAACCAACTAATTACTCTCTGTGCTCTGGAAGGAGCCGCTTTCAAAATTAATTTTACATTTCAATAAAAATTGTATGTCTGTCAAACATTGATCTGACTTCTAACTTGAACCACATAAAATATATAAAAGAGCTTCAGTAATTATTATTTATTGAATGTTTACTTTGATAATGAATCTGTAGGCCTAAATTGACTATCGGCGTATTATTTTATTTATTATTCTGGATTTTATTTTATTTTATAAATCATGATAAAAATAATCTTGATAACCAGCTTGTGAAAATCAACCAGTTTTTGGTTTCAAAATCGATAACATACTTTTAATGAATTTAATGAAATTAGAAGAAAGTTAATTTTACATAGGCACCAAGCTAGAACTATTATTTTCATAATATTATGTAGGAATTACTACTTCTGTCCACTTCAATTCCATTTAATTTAATTAATAAATTATCCTTTATTTTCAGGTGCATCTATTTTTTTCATTACCTTAACGTATCCCAGAAGAGCTGTAAAAAATCTGTGGATGCTCAAGGGCGGGCAAGAGGTACAAATCACTACTTATAGTTGGTTAGGGAAAGAGAAAACTTTTAAAAAACCAATTGAACATATCAACTGTTTACAGTCACGTACAGGAGCTGGACAACATATACCTCTTCAAGTTAAAGGAAGCAGTTTCTACTTTCTCCTTGACAAGAAAGGTTCTTTCCATAATACAGATTTATTTGATTTTCTCATTGCTGTCAAGAGGAATATTAAATAAATAGTATTTCTTTTTTTCTCCCAGTCTTATTCATTTTTTACACTATCACTGTGTTTCCTAATTATGAATTTTGACGGAGAAATAAAGACCTAAACTAAACATTGTTAAAAATAAATAGAAAAACGTGTTTTTATGACACTGACACACACAATTATTTAATATTTTTTGGTTTAACTTCTAAAAATACAACTTTTCATGCTTCTTACAAATGGTGACTCTGAGAGAAGGCTTTTACTGTCTTTTATTAGTAATGGTATTTAACCCTTTACGCCGCAACTGGATGCAATACACCCGGAGACAGAGAGTGGTAGCTAATATCTCGAGTCTCCTTTTAATTATCTTTCTCATACTCTTCCTTATCCACAAGGTAATTGGAATGAACACCTTGGTGGATGCAATTGTATAATATATATAAAGCAGGCAAAAGTGCCTTTTTTTTTGGCCTAATCTTTTTTTCTACAGTCCCTAGCAACTGGTTTAACACAGCCATGCATAATTTAATAGAAGAAAAAACCATCTAAACTGGCTGGTGAAAATTTTTTTTTGGTTGTTGTTTGTTGATTATTTGAGTCTGTGTAATCCATAAAATAGATTTTAAATTTTGATGATAAATAAATATTCTGAATGCAACAATAATAACATGTATTCAACTTGACAAACCATTTGAAAACAGAAGACTCACATATACACATGAAAAATGGGGGCTTTGCAGCTCAGCTTGTACAGTTTTTACATAGAAGAACAGAATGTTTCTATGCGCATATGTCTAATTAACTCTCTGAGTTGAAGTGGTTTGGGATTCTGTTTGAAGGTTTGTAAGATTTCAAAACACCGGCTATGTTCTACCTCACATTATCTTGATGCTTCGGGATGGATCGCCTCTAGTTGGGGAAGGGTGAGGAAATGTGCAAAGTCAATATTGACTGTCTGTTGTCTTCATGAGACAGTGAGTTGGTCAAATAATTTATATTTAAATGCCACTTTTGCTGCAATTGATGCCCAGTCAACAATGTTGAAAAACACAACCAAAGGCCATCTTTTACTTTTGTTTTTTGTATTCACAGACCACACATTTGGTTCATGGCGAATATGCCTCCTTTGATTTTTTTGTTATAGAGCACAATCTCTGGTTTCTTGCATTCAGTTTGACTTTCTATAATTGGACGATAGTGTATTGCGTTCAGGAGAAATACAATTTTCTGCTTTGAGCTCTGATATTTGACAAGGTTTTTTCTAGTCTGAAAAAACCCCCACTGCTTTGTTGAGGGACAGAGCCTTCTTTTGCTCAAAACCTTTGGGTAGGAACATCTTGTTTCATTTCACTGTTGCAACTAGGAGTCTGTTCGATCTTCTCTACTGGGGATATTCCAACATTTCTCTTTGTTGGCAGGGCACTTGCATTTTCTTTGCCGAGATATGGGCAGCTTCTCAGAGGATATTTCGAAGACAATTTGCATGCTCAGAGGATTTTTATTCCATATTTGTCGGGCTTGCTTGACATATATTGAATACATCGGCATAGACCTCTGATACCAACTTAGTTGATCACCTACTGTGATGTTATCTACAGGAACATACACCTCACCAAATTACTCAGGACTGGTTCTCATAATCTCTTATGGGATTGAATATGTTATGAGAAATAAAGGATTGATCTAGTATTTAGTATCCTTGGCAAAGCAAATGTGAATCAGAAGTTTGCTGAATCTCTTCATTAAAAATGCGGCCATAAAAGAGGATTTCCCTCAACATGGCTGAATAAAAATTCCACTGAAATACTGTTCAGGTGAAGAACATCAGTGTGTAGTAGGTAGCCAATAAAAAGCTTTCATTTAGATCACCGTCATTCCTTTGCCCTTTGTCTCCTTTTACTTTCTCACCTTCCCAGAAGTTGCAGTCAACTATTGTTATTATCTTTTTCATTAAAGAAATGCTTCAGAGGGAGATACTACACCATCTGTGAAGTAGTTCGGTTTCAAGGCAACTAAATCATGCCACATTGTAAAAAGAAAATAACATTAAACATTAATACTTTTTCCCATTATAATAAGTGTATGGGTGCACTACACCCAGTCACTAGGGACAGGCTATATAATATGTTGCAGCGGAGGGGGCTAACAACAATAAAAAGACTTATAAACAATTATTTTACTTTAGGACATTTCAAATTTTATTATCAAGCTTAATTATAAATTATAGTCTTACCAATACATGTCAAGTAATTGAAAAAAGAAAGTGCTTTCTCAAAGTAATAATAAAATTGATGGTGTCAATTTGACTTACTTAAACATAACCAGATTCCTTCCATTTCCATGTAGGTGCTTCAGTTTCCAATTATTTCATTTATTACAATTCCCCTTATTTCAATCCAGATATCTGCCCAACCAATAAAAAATATTTGAAACTGTTTATTTAGAACAAAATATTTCAATGATTATTTAAAGTATAAAATATCTACAATCAATAATTTATTTGAAAGCCATCTGACAAAACTGAAACATAAAATCTGTTTTTACATTAATAAAAATAAAAAGCAAGAGTTTGCTTTTTGTATCAAGAATAAATTTATAAATAATGATAATGTACAGACTTGAATACATGGTAGCCACATCACATGGATTACCAATGTACTTTATTTGAATAATTATTACCAGTAACATTTACAACACATCACATAATGAATATAACAGTAAAACAAATTTTATATCTTCCTTCTACAAACGGTATCAAAGATTCTGCTTTGGCCCAATCAAGATCCTGATAGTAGATACAATACAAAAGTTTATCCATGATTGGATGAGGACTAATGTCTCAAATAATGTTTTATATTGATTGCTGGACATCCAGTCATGAACTGATTCAAGTTTCTTTACTATGAAATAGACTCAAAAGACAATATATCTATAGCATTTAGTGGTTCCTTGGTCAACAAACTGAATATTTTGAAACAAATTCTTCACTAGAATGTAACTAAATATTTTACAAAATCATCTTGTCATTACAAAACATTTAAAATTATTTAAATTATAATTAATATAGAGGTATTGAAAATTTTTGGATTTATTAATCAGCACATAACTGATATCCAGGCTAATTTTCGTTTTCTTTAACTCTAGTTCCCTTTGGTTACCACTTGCAATAAGTTACAATATCATTCTATTAAAAAAAAAATTTATTTAAATTTACCTAAATTTTAGACACATTTCAAGTGTTATTAAAACCCCGGCATCAGGTAAGTAAAATTTAAAGTAATGTAACAAACATTACAAAGGAATCAGTCTTCAAACGAAATTAAATCATAACCCTGTGATGAGAAGAATTAGAAAATCAAATGTTTTTCAAGGAAAAAAGGGATCCATATATTATTACCCACACAAAAATGTCAAATTCTCTTATTACTCCCCTCAAAGTGTTAAAAAACATTAGTCTTTCTCTGTTGTCTCTTGAACTTTGCAAATTACATCACATGCACTGAAACAGCCTACTAAGGGTAAGAGTGGATTTATAAATTATCCCTAGGTGTATTCGCAAATGGGAATAAATCTTATTTGTTTGAAACCAATTTGTACTAAGGAATGTTGTTTGAGCGTAAGTTTGTTAGAGCCATCACTATATATTTCTTTTGTGACATCCAGTGAGATAAAAAAAAAACCACCAAGCATAAGTATGATAATAATTACTAACATTGCGATGTTATTTTTATATAACCTTTGAAAATATGGTAATAAGAAATGAGTTTCAAATTTTTAGTGACAGTTAGCTATATTAGGATATAAATAGGCTATCTTTAGACAGAATATCAGGATAATCTTTAAATATTTATGCATTAAAATATACTTACGAGCCCTGTCCCCACATAAGCCTAATCTCCAAAATCGACAACCTTTCCTCAGTGCATACATAATACATGGATAGACTCTTATTGTATTCATATATTGATTTTCAAAGGTGCTGGATAAGCTTTAGTTAATAAAATAAAAATAATTTGTTTTTAAAAGCCCATGAACCAAATAAGTGGCAGCGAATCATTTGTTTATAATTTTAAATGCAAACTCGCAATGGAGTAAGCTCACACTGATGTTGGGTTTGAAGAGAATGAAATGAAGTATTATTATATAGGCGATTCACAATGGAAATGTACATTTAATACTTTAGTTAAAGAGATAACATGTCAACAGACTACTAACTGGTCAATTATGCACAAATTTATACATAAACAAATTTCAGTTGGACTTGAGTTATTTTCATAATGAAACTTTATAATTTCTTATAAGTTTCTAAAACTAATGTACTGCTACTGTTTTGAATTGTGATACTTAAACTTACTATATTCGAGCTTGCAATTTTATTTGAAAGATTTTTTAATAGTCTATAGGAAGCAGTAATCACCGTCTCTATGTTAGAGAAAAAAAGAACTGCATTATATACATTTTATTGATAAGTTGATAACACACTAGATATGAGTTTGAATGCAATTTAGGATTCCCTCATTGAACAATACATGTTGACAAATGGCCAGAATGATGATCATAATAGAGAAAAAAAAAAAAAAGCTCATTTATTTATTCTTTGCTTAACTCTATTAATAAAGGAAATGTTAATAAAATTGTAATCCTTAGATTTTAAAAATAATATATCAGGGGGGAAAAAATAAGATCACAATAAAGGACTATTGGTAATGACTTGTATTTTTCAATATGAACCTATCACATCTATTCAACCATTCTCTGCTATACTGGTACAGTTTAATTCAAATAGCACCATGAAATGATCCCAAAACATACACACACAAAAACTAAATTAGAATTTCTCCTCTTTATCTGCAGTCTGTCAAATCTGAAAATTATATTACATTTTCTACTATGGCAAAAAAATGCTCAATATTTTTTTTTTTGGGAGGGGGGGGGGGGGGGGGCTTTTTTTTCCAGTACTGCTCAATAGTGAGGCAGTAACTTTTAGTATGGTAACATTTTAGTTAAAATAAAAACTCAACTGTTTACAAGAAAGATTTAATTATTGTTTTTTTTTTTTTAAGAGTGAGAAGGAAATATTTCATTTATGGACCAAAAATATTTAATTATAAATAACTTTCAATAGACTGTTAGTCGTAAGGACTGGTGAAATAATAATATATTTAATGATCTCTCTCTTTTTAAAATAATAAAAATACTAATTGGGATCACTTCATTTTGAGATTCCTTAGGATGGCTGATTATATAACCCGGTAACAAAAACAACTAGTTAAAATAAAAGTTCACATAAATTGACAAACAGATGGTAAGTCAGAAAGTATAAATTATCGAGTATAAAATTGAATGGATGATACCGAAAAGCCATATGACTAAATGTGTTAAATGCTACAGTTAAAAATAAGCAACATGGAGGTGTTCACTTATAAATTGTCCTCAATCAAACTCATTTAGAGTAACATTTACACAAATTCTGTTTCCCAAATCGACAGTCCTAAAACAGACTGCTGAATCACAACCACAAAACAGTACTGTCCTAAAAAATTTGGAGAGCTAAGATTGATTAATTTTAAACAATTATATGCTGCACTAAATTTTTGTTTACTTTTTAATTTTTTAAAGTTTTTGAAAGAAGAAGTTAATATTGATTACCGGTAAGTTATTTGCCTTTGCTGAAGTTTAGGAGTAATGAGAATTAATCTTAAATGTGGTAAAAGATCAAATAAATTTAATCAGTTGAAGTTTATTAATTCGGAAACAAGGGCTAACTTTAAGTCTTTACTGCACACAAACAGATTAAGTAAATGTGGACATATGCCTTATCTAACTTGTAAAATAAACAACAAACAAAAAAACCCCAACAAAACAACTATTAAATTTATCATAGATTAGTGACAGACACAACAGTTCTACACTGTAGATACTTATATTTCACTCACTTTTGTCCCCATATTCACTTATTAAAATTCACACACTTAAAAAAATTCACTCCCACATTCACACTCCCTGAGAATCATGATGCCCCAATCCATAAATTTTCTTGTAAAAAGCCTATGATTTTTCGTCTGTGAGTTTTATCCATTCCCCCTGGGTAACGAAATTTTCCAATATCCTTTCCATTGCATCGTTGGAGGTAGTCCTGAAAAAAAGAAAAGAAAGGAGAACATTTGATGAGATATTTAATTCTTTGAATGTTTAAAAAAAATGCTGACCATTTATTTGTTTTTCCTTCACCTTAAAAACTAACAGCCATGGCTAGGCAGCTAATACAATTTGAATGCACAAATAGATAAGTGGCAAATTTCAGACTTACCTTGATTATACATGTCTTAATAGTGATGTAATTTGCAGGTGACATGCCCATTGAGTTGCATAGCTGAAAAATTAACAAAAACATGAAAATGTCAAACACTAGTTTGTAGAATGAAGAGATACAGAAGTACAATACTTAAAATCTTGTAATTATTATTATTTTTTTTTGTATGGTGTCAAGCATTCATCTTGGTTAAGATTACTGAACTCATTCTGATCAGTAATGAGCTCAATAAACACAATACAGTTTTCTTCCAATTGGTGTTATAATAACTTCCAAGACCCACTAGCTTGCACTTGCTTATTAAAACTGAAAAATCACAGTCCTTATCTTAGTCCACAGATTCTGATACAACCACATCTGATTTTTCTCTTATCAACTGACCTTCTTTTCATTCTCAGATATCAGCTCAAACCCTGGCATGCTGCTGTTCACTTCCTTGGGAGCCTCTATGATGCCTTCATCACCTTTTCCTTGAGCTTTTTCTACGTTTTCTTCTGAAGATGTATCCATTTTGTCTAATTTTCCTCTGAAAAGAATTAAAGAACTTTTATAAGACGAATTATGATAGCATCCAAGAATGTTCTCTGTTAAAATACTATCATAAATAATTTTGATCCTTAAAGAAATATCAGGGTAATTCACTTTGAGACTCAAAACATAATACATACTCTGCTTTTTTGGAGACTTGCGAATTCCTCTTTGGCGTTGAAGAGGTCACCTAAAATTAGATCAAACAACAAAGATGTCACTCAATACTAATAAAGCATAAAATTATAAAAAATAATTTTAAAATGTTTAAACCATGGGACTGCTTTTAGTTCTGGCATTAAATATAGCCAAAGTCAAACAATGACAACAATGTTATTGTGAGGATCAATGTCTATGAACCATGATCTTATATTAAAAGTAAAATTATCTTCAGGTATTGTTTGTTATGAAGGGGATTCTCTAAATGATTAATGCACATAAGAAATATTTAATCATTTGTTGTGGTTGGTTAGTTCGAATGAAAAAAAGGTAGAACAGCATAAAATATATTAAAATAATATTTAAGTTACATTTGCAAGGATGCTCCCATGTAACTGTCTAGGTTTTGTCTAGTGACAGTTTAATGGCATATTTTAAAAATTTTATTAAAATTATAATCATTAGAAGATTCTCTTCTTTTAACATTGTTCATTTGTCAATGTGGCTTCATTTAAGGCTTTATTGTTTCTTAAATATGCCATTTTGTACAAATATTTATGTTGGCAACCTAAAGTGGTGTAAAATTGAAAGCCCTAGAGAAAAAACATGATGATCTAAAAACAAAAAAAACAACACAAAGTTATGAGTTAAAAGTTAATGAGATTGGAAGCTTCCTCCACATTTAATCTTTCTAGAAATGAATGATCTTTTGTGCAGTTATGACATATGCAGAGTGAGTGTTAATGAGTTGATTATGATAAACAATTATCGAAGCAAAGCCGTAGAAAAATAATGGATATATTAAATCAGATTTCTTTATTGAAACAGTAAAAACACATAGAATAACAGTTAGGACTTTAAATTTTTAAAATTATATTTACAGTGGTGGGAATTGTATAAAAATTGGTAGGATAGACTATTTTTAGCTAAGGCAACTTAAAGCAAACTTTAAAAAAAAATAAAAATAATGCTAAATCTTCAAGAAAAAACTAATTGCAAAACTTCATAGCAGCATGAAAAGATTCAAATAACTAGAATCTGTCATTTGAACAATTTCACTTGATGAAAATTCAAATAGAATAAGTTTCAATTTATAAATAAATAATAAGTTGAAAATAATAAGAACAAAGCTAGAGAAAGAATCATTAATTTGTTTAAATAATGGTGATAAAGTAATATCAAGAATGATATATTGTAGGAAAAAAAAATTGTTAAGTACTATGGGAAAAACAAAAACAGCAAAAGATAAATTTAAATAAATTTGAGGTAGAAAAATTTAAGGAAACTCCTTATTTATTGCCAAGTGCATATATTTATCCCATTAAAAATATCACTTCAAAGTTTGAAAAATCAAACCTGCATTATTTATTTTAAAAAAGCTTTATCCAATAATAGTAGATTGAATTTCAATAACATTTTTAATAATTTAAAACAATACATTTTAAAAATATGCACACAACTTGCATATAATATGCAGTGTAAATTTAAAAGCAAACTTTTAACAGTTCCAAAAAAACAAGAAAAAACCAGACTGGGATAATAAATGTTACACAATACAAATAACAACATGTAAGATAAGGCAACTCTGCCCTAAGAGAGCCCCAATGCAACACTGTATGTTATGTTGTTTTTAAAAATGAGCTACAAAGCATGGGAGAAGCATCAAAATTGCATTAGAAATGATGATTTTAACTTAAATTCAAAACTTTTTGTGAGTCCTTATCTTTTGTTTTAAAATCCCAGGATAATTTATTACAAGATGACATTGTCTAAATAAGTTTTCAATCTAATTTTGTAAATATAATTATAAATAAAATCAAAAGTAAAATTAATGCTACATCGTTCATGATTTAATTTCTGAAATCTCTTTATGCACATGACCGCTTTAAAAAGGTTTAAACAATTCTTTAACCATGATTTTTTTAAAACAAGTTACATTTGTTTTGATCATGTTTCCTACATTTACTTTGAATTGTGAGAATTCCTTTCAGTTTACGGTTTAACAGTTTGCCTACAATGGAGAAACATACTTAAACAAGACTTCAGAGTTATTCACAAGATTTAACATGCGATGATCATAATGAAGTTATTTTGGAATCATTTTTAAACTATTACTCAATGATCATAAATCTCCCTTAAACTGGACGTTAATTGGCCAACATATAACAGACAATTTTTTGGGGGCTGCATTTTCAGTCAACTCCATGCTTAATTTTGCAGTGTATTCTGTATGCATAGTATGCCCAGGGCATCACAAGCTCTAGCTTCTCCACTAATGTAGTTTTAGACAAAAGAAAATGTGACTTGGGCCAACTATTAAATATTACTGAAGATTCAAATCCTAATATCAAAATGCCTGAGTGATATATACTGTGATTAAAAAGTCTTTTAAAAGTATTTAGAAAAGGATGATAATCCTTGACAGTAAATAAAATAAAGGATTTTAAGCTTCACAAAATAAATTGGATGACTTTATGGAACTAATTTGATTTTTCTGTAACTAATTTTATTTTTCGACCATTATCCCTACCTGAAAAGTATGATTATGAAATATTAACTTCCACTAGGCAAATAACGATACTTTTCTATTTCTAGTTTTGAAAATGTTGGTATTCCTTGCTTTGTTAAATCAAATTCTAGTTTTAGCATTCCACTATTTTGTAAACTATATGTCTTCTCGATTTCTTAGATTTAAAATATTTCATGTACCTCTTAAAAGAAATTTATGAACTATTTATTTTATGTTTAGATGTTGAGAACTGGACTTAAGGTCATTGGACTAAATGTGCATGCTGTGGCTGATAAAAGACTACACAATCACTCAGTAAGCTTTCCTGATCAATGCTGCATGCAACATAGTATAGTGGCAAGAATCACTGAACAGGTGTTAAAATAAAGCTAATGTACAACAAGCAACAATTTAAAAATTAGTAGGCACTTTTTACATGACCATTAGATGGTTGTGTTCTTATTAACCATACATAACTTTTCATCTCAACCCCAGAATATCATACTTTTAAAAAAGCACCTTCAAAGCATACTAATCAGATATTTTGATTTATATAAACCGGCTAGCGATCTGGCACTAATAAACTAGTTACATGAACATAGATATTTTTTAAAAATATGTTTTTTTTTAAGAAGACTACGGATAAACTTGGGAGTGTTAAAAAAAATAAGTAGAAAGAATTGTAAGAAAACTAAGCACACGTGAACCAACAGGGTACTAGGACTTTAAAAAAGTTGTGTTGATTTTTATAACACAATAAGTATGTCTCTTTAATATTAATATTTATATATATATAAAATGATGACATGGTTCATGTACATCATCCCTAATGCATCTGCTGAATACCATTCACAAATCCAGTTATTTGGATTAGTAGTTTCATAAAAACATTTTTTTATTATTAATAAGTTCTAGTGTGTATTGGGGCTCCATAGAATTGGCAGATATCCGTAAAAATGTTAACTTACGATTTCTGGGCCTTAGCAACTGAGCTGCGAAGATTGCACTCACCATCTTTTTCTTATTTTCTTTTCTCTTTTCTCTTTTAAACTTCTCCTCTTCAAAAACTTCCTCATCTGCCAATCAAAACAAGGCAATGAGTAGAACATGCATAAATAAAAATAACTATTATCTAAGGCCATATTATTGATTTCAGACATTCTCAAACTTATACCATGCACCTGCTTCAAATACTCTCAATAAAGCTAAAATGGAAATGATCCAGGATTTAAAAAAAAAAAAAAAAAAAAAAAAAAAAAAAAAAAAAAAATTTAAAAAAAAAAAAAAAAAAAAAAAAAAAAAAAGAAAAAAAAAAAAAAATTAAAAAAAAAAAAAAAAAAAAAAAAAGAAAAAACCCATTTGATAGAAAAGCAAAATATGCGTGCCAAAACTGCACTCTATTAATACCATTGCTATAACATAAACAAATTAAAAACTTTCATTTTTAGATTTACACTAAAGAAGTGTTGGTTACGTTCAATCATGGACTAAAATATTGTCATAGATTCAACTGTCACTAAAAAAGCTGTCTGTTTGTGAATGATTCCCACAATTCCTATATATGTAGATACCCCCATTAGTCAAATAGTTTATCCTAATTGCTATTTTTATATCGACATTGACCAAAGATGGCTTTTAACAGACCAATGGACTTCAAGCTTTATATTGATATGAACTTAGGAGGTAAACAAAGATCCTGATAGACAATGCAATTTTGAATGTGTGCTTACTTTTGGGAGAATAACCTGGGAAAACAAGGTACAAAAGTGTGTTTGGTTCCTTTTTGGATATTAGTAAAACGGAGTAGAAAATACAGGAACATCACTTGGCAGGAATGTATAGAATCTTCACAAAATATTTAAATCATTTGGGCATACTTTTACAAAATGGAGTTTAAAATAAATTAACGCATAATTACTTAGCTAAGCAATCAAAATATTTTTAAATATTTTTTCTTTTCGTCCGAAGAATTGTTTATTTAAAAATTTAACTTTTAAACACTTCGGTACCAAATACGACATTTGTAAAAAGCACCACCTAAAGATAATCTGAAATATATTTCTATACACTGGTATTCAACACTAAACAAGCCAAGATATGAAAAACACAGGATTCAAATAAGACTTAATTTTTTTTACAATGTGGCCTAAAATAATAACACAATGGGATTCTTTGACAATGAAATAATATTTCACATTATCATTTCCCATTTAGTTAATTATATCAAAACCTATTATTTCCATTGAAATTCAGTATTCATATTATCAAAACATTTAAAGTTAGATGTCCAATTGTTATTGATCTGAACCCTGGTGCAGAAAGAGATTTCTACATGTAAACTTACTATGACTGAAAATTACAACATTAAAAGAAAAAAAAAAAAAAAGAAATCTGACAATATCCATTTCCTTTTCTTATAACACAATAGATTTGTAAAATCATGCAATTAAAAATGCAACCAGGGTTACAACAAAACATTGAATGCGAAATTATTATTAAACTCAAATCACCATCAATTACAGACACTTTATTTAACATATTCCTATCAAAATTATCAACCCAACACTACCATGAAGTGTTACAAAATGTTTATTAAAAGCTAAAAATGAGGGAATAAAATGTAATTAACTCAATTTGTAAACAGAATATTTAATAAATAAAGTCTTGACCATCTATGCTTTAAAAATGATTTAGAGGCTGGTAAAAATAAATTTAATAGCAATTGAATAGGGCAATTATACTTGCAGTTTTTGACTGATAAAACAAAAAAATAAAGTAATAATTGCAGCTAAGCCATATAATACTTAAACTGAATGGGATATTGAATTTGATTAAATAAATACTCATAGGTGAAATTAAATTAATCTAAGTACCACATATCAGGCCTCCACAACATTGGCCCACCAGCACCCACTTTACAGCCCGCGAAAACAAAATATCCTTTTTAATGATTTTTTCTTAATAGCTTCCCCACTGTCCTATTTTCTTTTGGCCTGCACAAGTTTTGCATAAAGTATTATGGCCTGTCTTAAATTTTGAGTTGTGCAGGCCTGCCATACATAAATATCTTTACACACACACATTAAATTTGTTGACAGTAATGAAAAAACAGTAGTAGAAAATGTACTTTACCTTCTAGCTTAGTAATGCCATTTTTCCTAAGTCGTATTAGCTCTTTGATCCTGACTTTTATTTCTTTTTCTCCTGTTTTACAAACAATTACATTGTTAGTGAGCAAAGCCAGTCATGTGATTCATTAATTTAATTAAAACTGTCAATGTATTTTTTAAAACCCAAATTTAGGTAAAATAATAATACATTTTTCACAGATCACTTACTTTTGATATTGTGGAATAACATTTGATGCTCTGCTCTAGTATGAAATTGTGAAAATGGTTTCAATCTCTCATGTAATTCTCTGGAGATATATGATTACAAAAATACATCATAGTTTTTCAGAACGAGATGAACAAATCCAATTTGGGAAAAAAAATGCCAGTGCAACAATTATCTGTTAATTTAAATGTGAAAATTAGGAATAGTAACGTGAATGATCAAGTTTGATAAAGCAATCAATCGAAATTTAGTAGGAGATTATAAAATTTGAATGTCATTTCTGATGTTATTTATTTTGAAAGGTAAGACACTGTGTAATGTTGAAGTTCAATTCAAACTAGAAATTGTAATGCATTCAAAATTACCACCTATTTCCTTAAAATTTTAATACAAACATAACCTTACCCACTTTGCGAGTAAATAATAGACAAAGAAATGTGGTCTGTTAAAATGCTAAGAAGCATGTAATGCATAGTCTTATCACTGAATAATTAGTTGGAAATATAACAGTATAACTTTTGAATCATACCTCCCAGTTTTTCCTGACTTTTTCTTTGAATGTGGTGTTTTTGTAGCTTTTGAAATAGCCGGAACACCAGCAGCAGTTAAACCATATTCCCCAGCTATCCTTTTCCGCCTTTCTCTCTCTTGCAAGCGTAATCTGTACTTGCAAATTTGAGCAAGTTTTATGGCTAGAACATAAATTAAAAGCTACATGACAGTGACTTAGTATTAATTGATAAAAAATTACCCATTATCAGTTTTGAAAAAGATTTTATTTTGTTTGTTTTTACAAAACAATACTCAAATGCAATTAACTTTTTCTTACCAAAAACATTAAGCATAATTCAGGGTTCCCACACTTTTTTAAAAACAAAATTCCCTACTTTTTCCCAACTAAAAACAAAAAATTCCTGACTATTGCAACACAGCGTTTTTGTTGATAATATAAAAATCTGTGCAATTGTCAAAGTAAAGCAACGTTGAAATACATCACAAATTAACAAAAATTAAGCCATTGAGGTGTATACATGAAAATATTTATTAAATTGCCTAGCAATTGCAATTTTTCAATTTACTTGGACGTGAAAATTTGTTGATGTTTACTTTTACAGTGTAAGGGCAACTTTTGCAGTGTGTTCTCTGGGGCATTTTAGCACATATGTATTGCTACCACAAGTGGAAAGCATCTTTTCTTATATGGAGCTTTCGTTCTCTTCTTTGTGATGAGTTAATACACTTCAGTGTCTATAAAATCTCTCCAATGAAGGTTTGATATTTTGACACATACATTGGGAGCTTGGCTGAGAAGTTGCAGAATTGAACACCTAAGATAGGTGATAAAGCTGAAGTCTCATCAGATGATTGACATTTTCTTAATATTTTCGCCCTGAATACTTGATATCAATATTTCCAGCATAGTGAAGCAGTGATGACTTGTTCAATAAATATCATGATAGCTGTCCTGACTATCAGTCTTTAAAATTAAAAGGAACTGTTAAGCATTATTTTATTGAGCCTTGATCCTGAATAATGAAACAAAAATAAAATAAATTATCATATTAATATCATGTTTATAATTTACAGTTAGGCCTACACCATATAGACTATATTATACCTGTACTAAACTACAGTAATATAGAGTCAGAAGAGATACTAAGATATGCATATGAAACGGCATAGTCAGGATTTTCCTCAGGGGAATGCATCATTGCACACCTTTTTTTTGGGGTATCAAAAGCCCCCCCCCCCAAAAAAAAACTTTTAGTAGCTTTAAAAGGAATTTCCGATGTCAGCCGTAAACTAGCTAACTAATCTACGCAAAAAATAACATGATCATATTAGCCTTTTTAAAATTAGAAGGCCTACTCTGTAATTAAATGTAAAATGAACTTAGGTCTTTTTAAAAAATTTTAAAGTTAAAGGCTGCCTAACACTAATAAAAAAATACATGTCACCCACGTACAGTAAAACAGTTTAAGTTAAAAATCAACTTATGAAGTTGAAGACAACGACATAACAAAGTACGCCAAGCCTAAGCTTAGTCATCGCAGGCAGCGCTTGGATGAGTAGTTCTTTATTTATAATGGTTACCTCACAATTTAAAACTAGATTCAAATAATTATTCACTATATTTTACACTTTACTTACCCAGACAATCGAACATCTCTTCATCGGCGATGTGAACAGAAAATAAATATTTCTGGTCTATCGAAGTTGTACGGTAATAGAAACTTAAAAAGCTCTAAAACGCATGCACAGACAAGGGAAGCCACTAGCAAGGTCCGTTTGATAACAGAAAGGCTAAAAATAGACGAGGTCAGCGACAATTTTCATGGCATTCAAAGCCAAATTTATTATTTCCTTACTAAAAGGCCCATTTTCCCGACCGGGAAAATTATTCGATAAGTTCCCGACCATTTCATGTTATTCCCGACTATTTCACGTTTTCCCAGACTGCGTGGGGACCCTCATAATTAATAACAACACAAAGAAATATTGAAACTTTGAAGTAACCTATGTCTATTTCCAATAAAATGAAATTTGGACTATGGCAATTTGTAATGAAATTTCCAAATAACTAAGAAAATTCCAGACATATTACTGCAAATTCCAGACATAAACCTAAAGCAGACATCATTGTGGTTTATCACAGAAATTACCCCAACACAGTCTGGTTTTATAAAGCCCATTAAGGAAGTTTTGAAGTACCTACTATGAAAGCCATAAAACTATGTGTCCGGTTAAAATCAAATTTCTAAATCTTATAATTAGTTTTCCAGAGAAGACAATATTAACATCCCTAACATTAACATGGACTTAAATAAATAAACAAGAACTTTAATATGTATAAACTATCCTAGTTTACTTTCATTATTACTACTTTAATTACATATAGCCATTCTCAAACTATTGCACACAAGTAAAATTTTCATACCAGTATCAATGTCATCATCATCATGATTTATTGACAGACTGCTAACTAAAGTCTCTGCGTCATTATCATGCTCCTGAGAAAATTAAAGGCAGAAACGGTTAACAAACAATTTTTAAAATTATTAGTTGTTTGTTGCCTCCCGTAAAATTTAGTAAATGTATTAAAAAATAATCAGCCCCCTTAAAAAAAAAATTACGTAAGCAAAAAAAAACTACATTATTCACTTTCCAATCCCACAAGTGTCACAGTAATGAATAGAGAAATGACCAAAAGAGCATTCATGAGAAAAGAGAAAACACCCTTAGAGCAAAGAACTTACACGTTCAAAGTCATCTCTTAAAGGCATATACCCAAGTTCTTGTTGCTGCTGCTGGCCAATTTCTAAAGGAGTTATTGGAATGGTAAGACTAGGAGACAGTGGTCCAGCAAGGGCTGTGAAAGAAGCATATAATGCATTTGAGCCTACACCTCAAACAAATAAAAAAAACCAGCATACTTTCAAAAACTTTTACCAAAAGAGTTACAATCATATTATCAAGAATAAATAAAATTGTGCGTAAGGAATGAAAACTGATATTACTTAATAAATATATTTAAAATTAAAATCATATGTTAGCGACGTAAATTAAATACAAATGAAATTTCATGGTTAAATTTTTATTTATAGTTATACTTAACAAACCCAAAGTATTTCATTATTTATAGGGCTTACATTATTCAAATATCGTCTTTCTATACCTTAACAAAAGCCATTTAACGAAATGTACTAAAGCAAAATATTTAGCTCTAGACCTCTTTTGACATTTACTGCAACATCTGAGATCTATACCAGTGCTTCTGGGTTGACAAGTTTCCCACTACATCAGGGACCAATGTCAATTTATTAATTCCTTATACATTAGCCACAGTAACATTGTTTCTTGCAAGAATGAAAAAAAACCACATACTTTCTCTTGTTTGATGCCATTGTTACACATATGTTCATTACATTAACATGTACTTCTACACCTATTAAATATCTTGTTAATAAACTTTTGGCTGGCATGTTAAGTAATGATATTCATTCCAGATGATAAATTAGAGAAACAAAAATTCAGTGCCAAAAGGTTAAGTTGTAATGAAATAAATAATACAATTTTTAAAATAATTGTAAAACATTTTGATCTTATCCAAGTTATAAAGGGATGATTGTAGAAAATAAATTATTATATAGACATTTATATAAAAATACAAATATATCGGTACCTAATTTTGGTATCAATATAGTTAATTACAGTTTTACACAAAAAAGTTGTGGAGGAAATCAGTACCTCCATTTGCACTTGAATGGTCGGTGATACTGGGTCTAGGGACTTCTTGTAATGTTGCTGAAAAAAAAATAAATGAATGCAACTGTTTTAATTACCCTAGTGAGAATTGAGCTATTAATGCTGATAAATTATTATTTAAATGTTTAAAACAAAAACAAATTCCTACAAAATATTATATATGATATTCTTTGAGAAAAACCCATCATCGTTAAAAACTTTTCTTACCATCACCAATGACCCCGTTAATATAAAAGCGGCGATAGTGATCTTCACATTCTGCACTTGTTCGAGTTTCAAGATGTGCTGCAGCTCCATTCCTGGAAAAAATTCCATGTTGAGTGATATTTTGTCTTTAGAAATAAAAGTAAACAAAAAATAAATTTAAGCGATTTTAAGAAAGTGAGAAATATTGATCTGTACATGAAATAAATGTCATTTAAAATATTTCTACTGATTTTTTCAGATGAAACATTTATATAACTACATGGGCTTATTTACCAATTTCCAAAACCATATTGCTCAACAGCATCTAGTAACATATTTTCTTCTGCCAATGACCATCTTGCGGAATCTTCAAATATACAAGGTCCTTGATCATTCTGAAATTATAACCAGTAAAATGGCATTGCTCACATATTTTACTGGAAAAAAATAACAAGTAATTTTAAAGTTAATAAATAAATTATTGTCCAATTAAATAAAGTGATTAAAATGCATTAATTAATGTATAAGTAGGTTTAGAATTTAAATACCATATCAGCCAATGGTTACAGTATTAACTAAGAAATTATAAAGTGTTTTGAAAATGGCTATTGTAATAAATTAAATTATAATATTAACATGTAATATGAACTAAAAATACACTGTCATTACTGCCATCTGAGTTTCTGCCCATTTGTGTATTTAATATTTGGGAATGCTTTCAAGATACTGCATACTAAGTTACAACTACTAAGAATGTAATGAAATTTCATTTAGCTGTGTTGTTTTGGATCCTTAAGAACTCCAGGAGTGACCTCCGTGAGTTACCCTTTAACTTCACTGTATTATGACTGTTTTCTAAACATTATTTCTTACTGACCATGATTCATGGTAACTAAAGCCACATTTCTTTTCTAGAGAGCTCTCTTTAACTAATTAAATACGAAGTGTCTACACGTCCGGCGCGCCGGACAAATAGTGCGCAAGATATACGTCCGGCGGTATGTCACGTGACCGCCGGACGGCTAGTAGTTTTTATAATTCCGAACGAAGTACAGATTGGTAGATCTTGTGTAGTTTAGTGGTAGAGTGGTCGCTTGACGATATTGTTATTTGAGGATCAATACCGGGGATAGGATCATTTTTTTCTTCTCCCATTTTAATGTAAAATATTTTATACAATATTTATATTATCATGTTCATCAGCAACAGTAGTTTCATGAGAAGTTTTTAAATATTTTCTAACAATTTAAAATGAAATCTTTTACTTTTATTGGTCGCCTACTCCCTGTAAAGTAAGTTAATAATTAAAATTAAATTTTAAATTAGGCTTTGGCTAGTAGGTCCCAATTATAACAATTAGTTAGTAATAATTAGTGCTACTACTCGCTAAATTGTTACTCTCTGACTTAAATTGATATTTAAATTTGATTAAAAGGAAAACTAAAAGTTATTTGCTTTTAATTGCTCTCTACTGTGGTGTACTTCCACACAATAATAGAAACCGAAAGTCGGACAAGAATGTCTATTTTTAGCAACTAAACACTTGATTATTTTATTTTCAAACTTCCGTTTTTATATTTTTAAATACAAATAATCCAAACAAATTTATCCAGCATATTTTATTTTACCTTTATTGTAAAGGAATGCTCTCTTCTATGTGAGGCTACCTCTGCACCGAATGAAAAACACTGAAAAAAACAACAACAACGAAAAGCATGTTATTTTCTTTTTTATAATAATCATATTTTTAGCCAGACTTGAACAAGTGCGTTGACCTAAATAGCACCAATGTAGCTCAATATGGCTCCACGTGACGTCACACTTGCCTGTAAACAAAGGTCAAAGTCGACGCATTCCGTGCAGCGTAAACGGTGTCCAAATATCTCATTTTGACAATAATTGCACCTTATTCTTGCCATTACTCAGTAAGAGTAACTTTCATTATTGCTCAGACAACACTCTATGATCAGACGCGCCGTAACAACAAGACATTGGGCAAGATTTTCTGTACTCTTGATTCAGCTTTCAGTATCCGTCTTCCTCCGAGCTCGTACCAGACGTCACTCCCAAAATGCAATGTAAATTTATCATATCCGGTGCAAGCAATGGCCTCTACTTTCCAGCCGGTAGACCAACGCGTTCGTGTCGATACAAGCTCAAGCTGGAGGTCGGGGGCAATGCTTTGCGGTGTCTCGTAGAGTTGAATAACGTTCGATATTACTCATGAGTTTTATTATCACACTAAAACGAGTCTTTTATAGCTTGCACAAAACAATATGCGTTGGTAAAATAATCGCGCAGTCAGCACTTGTTATCTTTTAGTAGTATTAGTTAGACTAATAATAATTGTATACTTCCAATTTGGTTAAATTTCAAGAAATTATGTTCGCCAAAATTCATGGCTTGACCCTTTCAGTTCTATAGCAAATAGTTTTTTTCACATAATTTTCCATATAGGCCTATTTTACTGGAAGAGTAGTGCAGTCCTAAAAATAGGTATCTTCCCACCTAAAAAATTCACACGTTGACTTTTAAACTGAAGTGTAAAGTTAACGGTAACGATTTTAAGAACAAAGAAGTCCGACAGACATCAAACAACGGATGAACAGTCTTATTCAAAGGCTCATCTCTCAGTTGATTTTTTTACTGGCTAATTATATATACATATGAGAGAAAAAAAGAAATTTTCTTTCAGCAGCGTCACAATTGGAGTGCAGGGGGGGGGGAGGGGGTTGAGAGCGGGTGCGCATCACACCGGGTGACAACCTGCCTGGAGGGGCCAGACACAAAATGGAAAATAACACAGTTCATTGCGTTCTCTCGCGATGGCTCACAACCAATAGTAGTTTAAATTTAAAAGCAATGTGAAAAAAAAACAACAAAACAAGAGGTTGCTAGAGCTGGTTGCCTCTTGAGAAGGGTGTCACCAAACTTGAAAGACTCGGAGGGGTCCATTGGGAAGTCTGGAGGGGCTTGACAACCATGATTTTACCGAACTGGTCGACAACAACCCCAGTGATGCCATTCTACTGACGCCCTTCTACTTTTAAGATAAAATAACTGTTAGTAGTGTGAGCAGGAAAGCATAATAGCTCGTTTCTGTAGTGTGCATATGACTACCGTTAGCTCAGAATATTACACATGGTGCTTAATCAGTAATTATAGTTATATTATGCCTATGCCCTCACGCCATTTTTACTACTTGGAGAAACCGATCAAATTCCGAATTAAAAAATATTTTGAAAAAAGGTAAGAATCAATCCGCATATGAACAAGGCCCACAAAACAAACTGCCACTGGAGAAATTCAACCACGGGACCAGACCCAAGAACAGCTGAACCACCTAGCTGATATAAAATCAACCAAATAACCAGATGACAAGGCCTATAGCAGTGGTCGGCAGACAGCGGCTCGCGAGCCGCACGCGGGTCTTTAGCGACCAGAGTGCGGCTCGGCCAGTCGCCCACAAATCGGGTTTGGCTCCGAAAAACATGGTTCTTGAAAGAAATGTGGCTCTCAAATTTTTTAATCGTCCTGCTGCTGATTTTTGGCTCTTTTGACTAATGAGCTTACCGACCATTGGCATATTATAGCCTATAGCATAAAGATCCAACCATTCATGAGTGTGTCAAATGACGTGGTTACGCTCTAACATGTTCCACGCCATCCTAGATGTACAGGAGCATACGATGTAAATCAGTTGGGTACGACCTAGTCCTCTAATTTTTGGTACAACTGAGTTGCCTTTGTGTGGGTACAACTGAGGTTGCCTTTGTGTGGGTACAACTGAGGTTGCCTATTTGTGGGTACAACTAGGGTTGCCGTTGTTGGGTACAACTGCGGTTGCCTTTGTGTGGGTACAACTGGGGTTGCCTTTGTGTGGGTACAACTAGAGTTGTCTTTGTGTGGGTACAACTGTGGTTGCCTATGTGTGGGTACAACTAGGGTTGCCTTTGTGTGGGTACAACTGTTGTTGCCTTTGTGTGGGTACAACTGGGGTTGCCTTTGTGTGGGTACAACTAGGGTTGCCTTTGTGTGGGTAAAACTGACTAACCTATTTTAGAGTACAATTGGCTTCCATAATTTTGACTACAACTGGAGGATAATTTTATTAGAGCAAACACACTACCCAAGCTTTTATTTGTACAAAGGGATACAATACATAACCACATTGTGGAAATGAAAATTATTTGTCCAAAGACAGGATCAGATAACCGCTTGAGAAATGGCAATTATTGCGGATGCCACTAGAATATAAACATTTTTTTTTCTTTCTTTCAGGTAAGGAACTTTTAAAGACGAATAATTTCATTGTCATAATTAATTTGCGAACATGCAGTATTGTTTCTAGTCTTGTCATTTGGACCAACGCGAACTACTTAGGACAAAGGAAACGTAATTTAGCGGCTTCAATGACATATTTGAACACTAGACGCTTCGGGGCCATGGGTCACAATAAAAAGGACAATAATTACTTTTTAAAATTATCTTTGTCGCTTATTATAGTATCCTAATGAATAATGTATTCACAATACATGCTTTGCAGTAAATCAGATATAGCTTAGAGGGCCAGACCAAGTTTGAACCCATTGCCACGAGACCTGTGCCCCAAGGCCATTGACCAATGTCCACCTATCAAACCAACGTCCAACTATCAAGAGATTACGTGATGCTAATGTTGAATGAAGCATTGGTGGTATGGATACCGACGACAAACACAATGATTGTGTACTCATTGCATTCTATTAAACTTTGAAGAAAAAAAAAACCTGCTCCTGGTATACGTCATCCGGTGGAGGAAATGCCTTACGACGAGGCCTACCGATGAGACAACAATCAATACGGTGTAAAGCGCGGGGCCTTGATACTGGACCCGTAGTCATGGACCTTTTCAGATTCAGCCATGGCACGCGCACAGCTGCTGTCATCTTTAACAACTGTGGCGGTTCCGGTGGTGAAAACACGCGTGTTTGTCTGTGTGTTCGTATTCACGCGAGCGTGTGTGTGTGTGTGTTCCTGCGTGAGTGGGATATACGACGCTACTGACCAGTTTTGGGGTCTGAAATGTTAGTTACAACAAAATAGTAGTTTTCTAATTAGTTAAAAAAAAAACAATGGTAGGCCAACCGAACTTAAGCTGGGTTCCATGGACCCCTGATGGCAGTATCGTGTATCCATGGACCCCTGATGGCAGTCTCAGGTAACCATGGACCCCTGATGGCAGTCTCAGGTAACCATGGACCCCTGATGGCAGTCTCGTGTAACCATGGACCCCTGATGGTAGTCTCAGGTAACCATGGACCCCTGATGGTAGTCTCGTGTATCCATGGACCCCTGATGGCAGTCTCAGGTAACCATGGACCCCTGATGGTAGTCTCAGGTAACCATGGACCCCTGATGGCAGTATCGTGTAACCATGGACCCCTGATGGTAGTCTCAGGTAACCATGGACCCCTGATGGTAGTATCGTGTATCCATGGACCCCTGATGGCAGTCTCAGGTAACCATGGACCCCTGATGGTAGTCTCAGGTAACCATGGACCCCTGATGGCAGTCTCAGGTAACCATGGACCCCTGATGGTAGTCTAAGGTAACCATGGACCCCTGATGGTAGTCTCGGGTAACCATGGACCCCTGATGGTAGTCTCAGGTAACCATGGACCCCTGTTGGTAGTCTCGTGTAACCATGGACCCCTGTTGGTAGTCTCGTGTATCCATGGACCCCTGTTGCTAGTCTCGTGTATCCATGGTCCCCTGTTGGTAGTCTCGTGTATAGACCCCTGATGGTAGTCGCATGTATCCATGGACCCCTGATGGCAGTCTCAGGTAACCAGGGACCCCTGATGGTAGTCTCAGGTAACCATGGACCCCTGATGGCAGTCTCAGGTAACCATGGACCCCTGATGGTAGTCTCAGGTAACCATGGACCCCTGATGGTAGTCTCGGGTAACCATGGACCCCTGATGGTAGTCTCAGGTAACCATGGACCCCTGATGGCAGTCTCGGGTAACCATGGACCCCTGATGGCAGTCTCGTGTATTCATGGACCCCTGTTGATAGTCTCGTGTAACCATGGTCCCATGTTGTTAGTCTCGTATATTTATGGACCTCTGTTAGTAGACTCGTGTATCTGTGGACCCCTGTTGGTAGTCTTGTGTATCTATGGACCCCTGTTGTTAGTCCCGCATATCCATGGACCCCTTTTTGCAGTCACGTGTATCTATGGGTCCCTGTTTGTAATCTCGTGTATTATGGACCCCTGTTGGTAGTTTCGGGTAACAATGAACCCCTGTTTGTAGTCTCGTGTATACATGGACCCCTGTTTTTAGTCTCTTGTATCCACGGACCCATGTTGGTAGTCTTGGTAATCCATAGACAGAGATCAAGCTGGAGAATGATAATTGATAACATATAACTTATAAAGTTCTTTAACTCCGATGTCCATTTATTTCTGTTTCAAAGAGCTTTCACCATTAATCTCACTAAGCCTCATGTGAATTTAGGCCACCACATGAGCTATATGGAGCAGGGGTGGGCAACAAATGGCTCACTGATTTAAATTAAACAAAAAAAGTGTTTAATATGTTGTCTTGAATTTTTATCTTAAATATTATCATCGTGATATAAATACTTATATGTATAAAAGTATGTTTCGCGTGCATCCATGGACCCCTGCTGATAGACTCGTGTATTTGTGGACTCCTGTTGGTTGTCTTGTGCATTTATGGAGGCCTGTTGGTAGTTTCGTGTATCCATTGACCCCTGTTGGTAGTCTTGTATATCCATGGAGCCCTGTTTGCAGACTCGGGTAACAATGGACACCTGATTGTAGTCTCGTATATCCATGGAGTCATGATGGTAGTCTCGGGTAACCATGGACCTCTGTTGGTAGTCTCGTATATCCAAGGGCAACTGTTGGTAGTCTCGGATATCCAAGGACATCTGTTGGTAGTCTCGTATACCCATGGACCCCTGTTAGCAGTCTCGTGTATCCATGGGTCCTTCTTTGTAGTCTCATATATTCATGGATCTTTGTTGGTAGTCTCTGGTAACCATGGACCCCTGTTGGTAGTCTTGTATATACATTGACCCCTGATTGTATTCTCGTTTATCCATGGTGCCCTGTTGATAGTCTCGGGTAACCATAGACCCCTGATAGTAGTCTAGTGTATCCATGGACCCTTGTTTTAGTCTCGTGTATCTATAATATGGACCCCTGTTTGTAGTTTCGTATATCCATGGACCCCTTTTGGTAGTCTCGTATATCTATAGACCCTCGTTTGCAGTTGACCTGTTTGTAATCTCGTATATTCATTGATCTTTGCTTGTAGTCTTGGGTAACCATGGGCCCCTGGTGGTAGTCTTGTGTATCCATGGAGTCCTGATTGTGTTCTCGTATATCCATGGAGCCCTGTTGGTAGTCTCGGGCAACCATGGACTCCTGGTGGTAGTCTAGTGTATACATGGACCCCTGTTTTTAGTCTATTGTATCCATGGACCCATGTTGGTAGTCTTGGGTATCCATAGACCGAGATTATTTATATTCAATATTATCATCTCGATATTATTATTTATATTTATTAAAAATTTGTTTAATTTATAAAGTGTCTAGACCTGTGTCCATAGACCGGCACCGGTCCGCATAGCATAAATATTTAAAGTTAAATAACAAGAACAAAATAAGTAACAAGTGTGGTGCCGCTCCGTGGTTCAAATTTCGAAGCTGGTCCACTTAAAAGATTGTGAAACACTGGTCTAGAACTGTAAATTCCTAGACTATAGTAAAGGCGTCCCATCTGTGTCATGCAAGGGACACGCAGTGACCGGGGAGAAGCTTGCAATGTCTTTCAACACTATAGCAACATATGTGACGTCAGTGAAAGACCAGTAAAATGAAAATTTTGGCGCCCATTGTCTTTGAGAAGTTCTTGGGATTCAGAGCCGTTCTTAGGAGTTTGGGGACCCTAAGCATGGAGCGTAGGTTTGTGGCCCCGGAAGGGGAGGGGGGGTCCGATCGCTATGTATACTTTCCCATTCCCACGGCCAAGCCCCCGATTTCCTGTATGACACCCCCCCCACACCCCCCCCCCCCCCNTTTAAAAAAAAACCGGGGGATCGAGGGTGCCTCACGGGGGCCCCCTCACGTTCGGGGCCCTACGCGGATGCGTAGTCAGTGTATGCCTAAGAACGGGATTTTATAGTTTAATTCACTATGATAATAAGTGGGTGGGGGGGGGTGCGGAAGAAATGCACCTGAAATGTTTTTAGATAGGACACTGATTATCTGGCGCGATATTTCGAGGATGTCCAGTCCATCTGTCAGAGAGACGCCTTTTTTACAACCAATTGCCGTGGACTTACTTTTCATCCCCCCCCCCCCCCCTTTTTTTTTTATTACCCCCTTAGCCACTAATGGCCTACTGCTATATTACATTCCTCTTGTCTGCCTCTCAGCTAAGCGTTTATTTATTTTGTTTTTAAAAGGTGTGTTACTCGTTGATTGTTCATTGAAGAAGGCTTCTTGCCGACACGCTCGTTGTTTTGTCACATCTTTTTTGTTTCAATTTCCCCACACCTTGTTTCACATATTTCCTTCAAATGCCTAAAGACGACCCCCGTCCCCCCTCATGTTGACGCACGGGGCAAGTGCCCTCTGCCCCCCTCCCCCCACTTTTTTTCTTCTCCACCCTGCCCTGGGCTCTTAAAAATAGTTATCATGCGGCCTCACCCCGCCCTTGGAATAATACTATTTTATCATGCTGAACTCGAGTCAATAAAATCCTCTGTTCATGTGGAGCTCGAAAAGGTCCTATAGGAAACCTTCACATCGATATTGCAATGAATGACATTTACAGCCAATCAGCTTTATCCGCGTGCCTGTAGCAGGAAAGAAAAAAAAAAACTGGCCTTCTCTACTGTTAGATTCAGGGGAAATAATCAAGAAAATTATATGATTACAAATATGAAAGGTTTTGTCCCTTATAAAACATTTTTTAACATTAAGAGATTGTTTCATCTTAAAGTTTACAACCAAGGATAAAACAATTTTGGACTTACCTTAGCACTTTAGCTAACAATTTGATTGAAGGGAGTTAATTTGTTATGCCTGTATTTTTTTTGACCCCCCCCCCAAAAAAAAAAAAAAAAAAAAAAAAAAAAGCGCAAATTTAAGATAACTGAGCGCAATCTAGTAACGATTTGTAGTCTTCTGCATACAGTTATTACTAAGTAAGTTACTAGTTTGAATAAGGTCCGTTCGGTGTCGAGTCGAGTTCTTTCCTGTTGAATTGAACATTGAAATAAAGTTATGAAAATTAAAAAAAAAAAATATTAACGCAGGAAACGATTTGGTTACACTGGTCCTAGGTAAGCCGAGTAGTTAATTTAGCATGTCGACGATGTGCAGGCCCGTTGGTGTAGGGAGAGTTGGGCGGTGAGGGGCGGGGTGGGGCAGTGCGCCTCTTATGACAGTTTTTTTTTTCTTTCCTTCTAAATAATGAGGAGAGGGTGCACCACCAAAACCCCCCAGAGGAAAACGGCTGAAAGGCAGACCCCGGCTAAGACTGACGGATGATGTGGGAAAAAGATCTTTGGCAGCTAGGAGTCCAAGCATGGGAAAGACAAAACATCAGTTTGGTCTGAGTATAAGGAAGTGGCGACGCAGGCCAAAACCCTACGTGGGCTGAAGCGCCACGGGGATGGATGGATGTATGGATGGATGGATGGATGGATGGATAGATGTATGGATGGATAGATGGATGGATGGATGAATGGATAGATGGATGGATGGATAGATGGATAGATGGATGGATGGATGGATGGATGGATATATGGATGGATGGATATATGGATGGATGGATATATGGATGGATGGATAGATGGATGGATGGATAGATGGATGGATGGATAGATGGATGGATGGATAGATGGATGGATGGATAGGTGGATGTCACATTCGACTAATTGCAGAGTTGTTTTTTTATGAAAAATGTGGCAAAAAATCAGGGGCGGCAAAAATCTTTACCGCCTTTGGCGATTCTAACTCTAACCTTGCCACTCTACAGCCCTAACTAATTCTATCGTTTAAGATTCATTTTGTTTTAGTCATTTATTATTATGTTTATAATAATAATTGATTAATCCGCGTGTCATTTAAAATCGCTCGGCGTGCAACGTCTGGCCCGCGTGCCGTCTTAATGTAATGTCTTAATGCTTACCGCAGTGGGCTTTCTTGAAGTTAAGCGCGTTGTCCGGGTTTATCATTTTGAGTGTGTGTGTGTGTGATAAAGCCAGCGTGTTACTGATTCTTCAATGAGTTAAACAAAGAGAAAGTAGTAGATGTGTGTGATGAAGCCAGCGTGTTACTGATTCTTCAATGAGTTAAACAAAGAGAAAGTAGTGGATGTGTGTGATGAAGCCAGCGTGTTACTGATTCTTCAATGAGTTAAACAAAGAGAAAGTAGTGGATGTGTGTGATGAAGCCAGCGTGTTACTGATTCTTCAATGAGTTAAACAAAGAGAAAGTAGTGGGTGTGTGTGATGAAGCCAGCGTGTTACTGATTCTTCAATGAGTTAAACAAAGAGAAAGTAGTGGATGTGTGTGATGAAGCCAGCGTGTTACTGATTTTTCAACGAATTAATCAAAGAGAAAGTAGTGGATGTGTGTGATGAAGCCAGCGTGTTACTGATTTTTCAACGAATTAATCAAAGAGAAAGTAGTGGATGTGTGTGATTAAGCCAGCGTGTTACTGATTTTTCAACGAATTAATCAAAGAGAAAGTAGTGGATGTGTGTGATTAAGCCAGCGTGTTACTGATTTTTCAATGAGTTAAACAAAGAGAAAGTAGTGGATGTGTGTGATGAAGCCAGCGTGTTTCTGATTCTTCAATGAGTTAAACAAAGAGAAAGTAGTGGATGTGTGTGATTAAGCCAGCGTGTTACTGATTCTTCAATGAGTTATACAAACAGAAAGTAGTGGATGTGTGTGATGAAGCCAGCGTGTTACTGATTTTTCAACGAGTTAATCAAAGAGAAAGTAGTGGATGTGTGTGATGAAGCCAGCGTGTTACTGATTCTTCAATGAGTTATACAAACAGAAAGTAGTGGATGTGTGTGATGAAGCCAGCGTGTTACTGATTTTTCAACGAGTTAATCAAAGAGAAAGTAGTGGATGTGTGTGATTAAGCCATGTTACTGATTCTCCATCGAGTTAAACAAAGAGAAAGTAGTGGATACGGGGGAAGTGGTGTCAATTCAGTTTTTTTCAGGGGGGGGGGCAAAACCAAAACTTGGTCGGCTTTTCAGGTTGTTTATTACTGGAGGCGCCAGAGTATATAGCAATTTAAATAAAAATCTGAAAATTTATGGGGGGGGGGGGGCTATTCCCCACCCTTCCCTACCCAAATGATCTCTGGTGTAGAGTAAAGATACTATACAAGCAACAAGATAATATTCTTGATATCGAGTTTTATTTAGTAAAGTTGTTTGTACTATAAAAATCATGTTTAAAATTATTATCACACGGTAATAGTAACAGCAGGACATTTAGAAAATACAATATTAACATAAACAAATTGAACATAGTGCAACAAACTATAACGTTGTCACACCTATTGAAACTTAATAATGGAGTCGTCACAAAGTCACATTAACAAATATCATACTTTAAGATTGCACCAAAAGATAAAATGCATACATGGGACAGCTAAGATGTGTGCGTGTTACAATTTATATGTATATATGTAACATATAATATGCATGTAGGCCCTAAGTTAAATGTCTATTACTTTTGTTACAGTTCGTGTGCATGTATGTTTTAAACTTAATATCTCTGTATTGTTACATTTAATATGCATGTATTGTTACAATTAATATTCATGTATTGTTAAGTTAATATGTATGTATTGTTACAGTTAATATGCATGTATTATTACAATTAATATGCATGTATTGTTACAGTTAATATGCATGTATTATTACAATTAATATGCATGTATTGTTACAGTTAAAATGCATGTATTGTTACAGTTAATATGCATGTATTGTGACAGGGTTGTGGTGTATTACATTGACCTGGTTTTATCAGCAGTCCACATTCCAGACAAATTGCATGGCAAATGCCCCATCCTGCCCTACCCAAATGACGCCCCTTTCAAATTCCCCCTGACCACTGGTTTGTTCAAGTTACAAATTCTTAGGACACACAAGGGTGCGTAACACTATGTTACAGTTAAAATGAATGCATGTTACAGTTTATATGTATGTATTCCTATGTTTCATTGTATAGGCATGCATGTTTCAGTTGCTAAACTTTATATTTATTTATGCTACAGTGTATTTGCATTTATTTTCAATTTAAGATGCGTGTCTTTTAAAGTTAAAAAGATACATGTTCACATGTATGTCACAGTTCAAACTAAGTGACAGTTCCATCGAATCGCTGTCCTGGATGTGAAACAAAGGTGAATGTGTCCTAGCTGCTAGCATCCAGCTGTTGCTTCGACGTCATCAGTTTGACGAATTCTGAAAATTTAAAGAATAGAAGCTCTCTTAGAGCAGCTGTAGTGAGGGTGTATGAATCTTTTGCAGATTTCTGTTGGTATAAATAAAGGGAAACTATTCGGGGGAGGGGGGTGGGAATGAACAGACATAATTGTTGAAATTATTTCCCTTTTATATCCGCGAGCTGATAATGCAACAGTTTGCTTATAATAGTATCCTTAAACATTTTTATAAAAAAAATTCATGATCTGTAAGGTGACTAAATAAACACATCTCCATAAGCTACTGACTCTGTTTCCATCCCACGCCTCGTTTCATTCCTGTGAATCCCCCCCCCCCCCCCCCCCCCCCGGTGGAATCTTTAAAAAAAAAAAAGGGGAACAAAAAAAAACAACAACAATTTTAACACACGAACTCTCAAACAGAAGAGGAAAACATAAATATAGTTATGGGTCTCAAGGGAAATAATTCTGTTTGAGGAATTGAAGGGCGACACACATCCAAATACGTGCTCCGGTTTCGTAACATTATCACGGAATATTCTGCCTGGAATATCTAGGTCAGTGGTTCTCAGCCTCCCTAATGTCGTGACCCTTAATTGCTATTCCTCATGTTGTGGCGACCCCCAACCAAAATATTACTGTCGTTGCCACTTCATAGCTGTGGACAATGTTCCTTCAAAGGTTTGTTGGTTCGTGTGCAAAATCATAAAGTTGTGAGCACATTTTTTTTACAGCATCAATTTTTTTGTGCGCAAATTTTTGCAGCCTACAGACAAAAAACACACACTTAAGTGCGGTACTCAAAACTGCTGTGCGGCGTCTGTGAGATCACTGCGTGACCGAGCAACTTAAAGGGAACATTGGCTGTAGAGTATATGTGTTTTCCGATGGTCTTAGGCGACCCCTGGGAAAGGGTCGTGCGACCCCCAGGTTGAGAACCGCTGATCTAGGTCAACGCGGCTTATTTCAAGGCGTGTTCCATCCCTGGAGGCACGAACTGTTGAGACTTTTTTTTTTTTTTATATACAGGGAAATCAAATATTAATGAAATTTATCAATGACAACAAACTTCATTACCACATTGTCCCTGTCATTATGAGGTAAACATAATAAATACATATGGGCCTACTAAACAAACTTAAGCAACACTATCCATACAATCAAGAAGGAAAATCAAACATTGTACAACCAGTGGGTCCCCATGAATAGGGCTTAAAACCCCCCCCCCCCACACACACACCCTCCCCCACTGAACAATAAAGTTTTGTGGAATTGTTATCAAGTTAGATCCGACTTCTTACTTCTTCGTTGAAATTATCCAGTCAAAAATTACTTAACCTAATAATAGACCTTTCCAAGCAATATTCACTTAACCTTACTGTTGACCTGTCCAGTAAAGTGTCAATGACATTGATGGATGTCCGGGTCCGGTAAAGCGTCCCTGACCTTCACGGCGTTGACCTGTCCCCGTCAAACTTCACTGACCTTCATTCAGTCACGCACCACTGACCTTCATAGTTGACCTGTCCATCACCGTCGACATCAGCTTCCCGTATCATTTCCTCCACTTCCTCTTCCGACANTCAAAGACCCTGGTGATAACAAGAAAACAGAACCAGCTTTCTTTCTATGGCTTGACTAACATCCGTCCAGGTAATAAGCAGAGCATCTTGTAAGGTCGGCGTTGCTGTTGTATAAAAAAAAAAAAAAGACACAAGTCGCTGACCTTGAAGATGTGGTAGGGACCCCTGAATGTAAAATAGGGTAAGCAACACTGAAGGAAAGATTTGGACCTTAAAAAAATAAATACGCTAAAACAGTGGTCGGAAAATCGTGGCTCGCGGCTCTTTAGCGACCTGAGTGCAGCTCAGCCAGTCGGCCACAAATCGCTTTCGACTCCGAAAACGTGGCTCTTGACAGGTTCTTGAAAAGAAATTTGGCTCTCAAATTTTTTTAATCGTCCTAGTGTTGATTTTTTGGCTCTTAGAACAATGAGTTTGCCGGCCACTGTACTAGTGTAAATGGGGGGAAAACTCTTACCGGAAGGCCTGTCTCAGCTCCTCTTCCGTGTCTGTTTCTTTCATTTTTCTTGACATCATCCGTAGGAATTCGTTGAAGTCGATGGTGCCACTCCCTAAAACAAGGAACCAAACTGGATTAATCACCAGGACTCTACAACGTAGTACCACACATAAACTTTTATAGTTTGATGATGGCTCCAAATTCGAGGCATCCTTGAAGACTTGGCACTCATTAATGTCTACTTGGCACGCACGAATGTCTACTTGACACGCACCAATGTCTACTTGGCATGCACCAATGTCTACTTGGCACGCACCAATGTCCACTTGGAACTCACAAATGTCTACTTGGCACTCACAAATGTCTACTTGACACGCACCAATGTCTACTTGGCACGCATCAATGTCTTCTTGGCACCCACCAAGGTCCACTTGGCACGCACCAAGGTCTACTTGGCACCCACCAAGGTCTACTTGGCACGCACCAAGGTCTACTTGGCACTCACCAATGTCTACGTGGCACTCACCAATGTCAATTGGTACTCCCCAATGTCTACTTGGCACTCACCAATGTCTACTTGACACTCACCAACGTCTACTTGGCACTTACCAATGTCTAATTGGCACTCACCAATGTCTACTTGGCACTCACCAATGTCTACTTGGCACCCACCAATGTCTGCTTTGCCTCCTCTCGAAAGAAGTCGATACGTTGCTAGTGACGTCACTTACCGTCTGCGTCCACCTCATTGATCATGTCTTGCAGCTCTGACTGCGAGGGATTCTGGTTGAGTGACGTCATGACCACGCCCAGCTCGCTGGTTGTGATGAAGCCGTCGCCATCTTTGTCGAAGAGATTGAAAGCTTCCCTCAACTCTGCCAGAAAGTTGACCAACCATTGTTATGTTTTCAAACGCGCTTCCTATGCAAACAAAATGGGGTAGTGGCCTAAATGGAGGAATCAGTAATCGCGCGCTTTTGGATAAGTTAACTTTGTGCGCATCCCAGTGGAGCAGGAAGTTCGGAAAAGAAGGTTCGAGATGCATAGTTCATATGATGAGGAGGCTCGTGCCAAATTTAACAAGGCATGAACTCGTATGGAACAATCAAGTATCAAGAAAATAGGAAAGAACCCTCCCCCCCCCCCCCCAAAAAAAAAAAAAAAAAAAAAAAAAAAAAAAAAAAACCCCCCCCCCCCCCCCAAAAAAAAAAAAAAAACAAAAAAAAAAAACAACAACAAACAACACATGTCGTAGAGATGTAGAAAACGACGTACTTGACAAGATTGGAAGGGTTGAAAAGGATTAGAGAAGATGACAAGATACCGGAGAGCGTGGAAAGATGTTGTTAATGGTCTATGCTCGACTGGGAGTTATGGTCTGTGCTCGACTGGGAGTTATGGTCTGTGTTCGACTGGGAGTTATGGTCTGTGGTCGACTGGGAGTTATGGCCTGTGTTCGACTGGGAGTTATGGTCTGTGTTCGACTGGGAGTTATGGTCTGTGCTCGACTGGGAGTTATGGTCTGTGCTCGACTGGGAGTTATGGTCTGTGTTCGACTGGGAGTTATGGTCTGTGCTCGACTGGGAGTTATGGTCTGTGCTCGACTGGGAGTTATGGTCTTTCCTCGACTGGGAGTTATGGTCTTTCCTCGACTGGGAGCTGAATGATATTGTTAATGACCCATGTTGTATGCTTTACTTCTTCTTCTTCTATATATTAAAGACCCACGCTCAATTTATCGATCATTTTGGCTCCCACATCTTTTCTGTGATATTTAAACTTACTATTTTCCCTAAGTGATGTGTTAACTTACTATTTATCGTGTAAGAGATATGTTAACTTGCATTTACCTGCCAGTGATATGTTAACTTACCCTTTACTTGATCATCACTTAGTCCTTCAGCCTGAAATTTAAAACGTCAACCATTGCAACAAAAGTCACAGTTTGAGCAGCCTCCTATTTAAAGTTTAAAAAAAAAAAAACAGCTTCTAACAGCCTATTGGGTTAGCCAATGACGTTTAAATTTCTTGACCTTTTAATATTGTAATGACACAACCGCGTTTATATCGATACTTATTTCACCTACTATATCTGGAAGACAGAAGAAAATATTCCGATATTTTTTTTTTTTTTTTTTTTTTTTTTAAAAATTTTTTTTTAGGAAGTTTTTATTTTTTTTTTTTTTTTTTTTTTTTTTAAAGAATCTCATTTAGCGAAGTTATTGGGAGTTTTATCTCGTGAAATCATTGTAAAAAAATTTCTTTCCTCTTCCCATTGAAAAACAGGAAAAAACTGATTTTTTGGGGGGAGTCGGGGTTTGGGGTGGGGCTGACAATTTAAAAAAAAAAAAATGTTCTCATCGGCAAAGAGTCTATGTGCCTGGTTTTCCAGCTCGAATAGTTGATGGGAAGTGGGTCACTTTGCCAGCCAGCCAGCCAGACACAAACAAAAGCGAAGTTACTAATAAAGGGTTTTCAAGAAACAACAAAATAAGTCGTTTTCTAAACGCCAACCCCAAAGACGTAAAACAAGCTTTATCAGAAATATCGACTAACTTCAATGACAAGAAAATACATTTTCAATGAACTCAAGATAATCGAATTTATGATCGATCCATTTACTTCCATATTTGTGTCACTTCCCAGCATCGTAATTGGTCGAACATGGTCCTGGTGTGCTTGTCCATATTTTTACCCAAGCAAGATAATGGACTCCAGATTGCTGAACGGGTTACCCTTGAATCCGGACATGGCAAAAACTTGTACCCCGTTATAACGCGATAATTGAGGTCCTTACATCGGATCGTGTTAATGGCGGGGTCGCATTATAAAGGCGTTGTTCAACATTTCACGCGAATAGCACTGATATTTTTAAAAGTAAGAAGACTGGGTGAAATTGTTTACAGACGTGTTAAAAAAAAAAAAATCATGAGTAGTTAGTGAGCTACACGAAGTGCTGGAGTTGGACTAAATGAAGTGAATTTGTGATGTTGTTGTTGTTGGAAAAATAAATACGTCTTATACTCGTTTCGTGTACGTACTTAAAACTAAATAAATCCTTGTGCGAATAAATCCAAGTTCGAATAAGTGCATATGAGAAATAATCCATATGAGAATTAATCCATTTGCAAATTAATCCATTTGCGAATAAATCCGTGTACGCATAAATCCGTGTGCGAATAAATACATAAGAACATAAGAAGTTTTTTTTTTTTGGGGGGGGGGGGGTGGGGGGGGGGGGGGGAGGGGTGTCAAGTTCCGACCGCGTCATATCCGAATAGCGTTACAGAGGCCTCCACTACATCGCTTCAACAAGCCCGACCAAAGTTGTGAGAATATGTTAGCGGCGAAGGAGCTAGTCCCTTCAAATTAAATAAATGTAGCAACTAGAACTTCGCCTTCATCATTGCTCCGCTTCAAAGCTGTGGTATCTATCGTCTGATCTTCTGTATCAGTGCATTACCGAATTAAGTAAATTTAAAAAAAAAAGATAAAAAAAAAGATTCATTTGTAGTTAAAGGAAAAGATCAATCGTATGTCTCTCTTTGACATTTCTTGTGTTAGCTCCCTTGTGTAACGGTCGTAAAAGCTATTAATTTGCTTAATGGCTAGGAAAGCCGGAAAATGGGTCGGTGGTTGCAAAATGTTTGAGAGTTGAATTTTAGTTGTGGGGTGTTTCCCACTTCCCCTCCAGAAATTGCAGGCGTTATTTTATTATTATTATTATTTTTTTGACACAGTCTTTTTCTGGGAAGGGCCAAACATCTAAGTTTTCATTAAAAGATCAATTTTTAATTGAAAAAGAATGGTAACATTTCTGGAAATATATTTAAAAAAAAATATAAAAAAATCACAGCACAGGGTAATAATCATGTATTAAACTGCGTCAAAACACGGTGATGGCAAAGTTCTGTTAAACAATTAGTCCACTGTACAGAGATATGTTTATCTAAATGTATAGATATTATAGCTTGGCAAGTTGAAAAACAAAAAAGTGTCTTTACCATTGTTTTGTTTTTGGGAAACCACTGTCTGTTGTAAGCTTTTATGTAAAGGATGGGATCTCGCAAGGGAAGTAAGTTATAAACCAATGAAAGATGCCACTTACCATTATGATTGCTTGCCGCTGTTCGGAACGTAAGACACTGAGTGTCGATGTGTTGTTGTTATTTATGACTGGTCTTCCACCTGGTCACGTGACACGAAGACACCCCCCCCCCCCCCCCCCCCCGGAACAGCTATCTCCACTTTGTAGTGAGCCAGCAGCACATCTCCACCCATTCAACGTGTGTCAACACGCCGATACCTTGACAGACACTTGACCTTAAAGACCTGCCCCGTGCTGTGACCTCCTGCTAATCAGTGTATTGTTTTTTTTTACTGAAGCAATAATGTCTCAAGTAGTATACTTGCACTAGCCAAAGCTAGACCAATCTGACTCCCAGCTACTTAATGCATGCCCCATGGCCCCTTAAAGACAAAAGAGAATACTACATTTATTTGGATAACCTGAAAGACTTATCGTCATGTTCATAAGGAAATTCCTTCCTGTCAATGTTATATTACCCCCCCCCCCACGCCATCCCTTCCTCAATTTCAAGCACCCATAATCCCTTTCGCCCTCTTGTCTATCTCATACACCCAACCACCCTCCATTTATCTTCCTCCATCTCAAACGCTCACTCACTTCTTTCCTTCATATTACCACAAATCTTTCTCCCACCTCACCAAACCTCCTATCTTCCCTCCCTTCATATCATCCCAAATCTTTCTCCCACCTCACTAGCCCACTCTCCCTCACTCCCTTTGCTCCCCACCAACATTCCTTACAATTTGAAGGCGTTTCCCAGACGCCATTGATTATTAACCCTCGTCTGTTTTTGTTGAAATTTTAATTATAGGTGACTCAACAAAATTTTAATCAGGAAAAATTATTTGTACACACGCAACAAGTGTGGGATTTAATTCCGTGGCTAATTTACTCCTGGCAATGATCTACAGAACACATATACCTGGCTAATTTACTCCTGACAATTATCTATAGAACACATATACGTGGCTAATTTACTCCTGGCAATGTTCTATAGAACACAGATCCCTGGATAATTTAATCCTGGCTATATTCTATAGAACACATATACCTGGCTCATTTACTCCTGGCAATGTTCCATAGAACACAGATACCTGACTAATTTACTCCTGCCAATCATCTATACAACACAGATCCCTGGCTAATTTACTCCGGCGAATGTTCTATAGAACATATATCCCTAGCTACTTTACTACTGCCTATGATCTATAGAACACAGATTCCTGGCTAATTTACTACTAACTAACTTACTTAAGAAAATCAGCGAACACCGAGCCGAGGCTCATATGGTCCTCCCCAACGCACCACCCCGCCAACCAAACCGGCCGTCAACCACTCCCTCAGTGGTCTTTAGTCCGATCGGGCCACGAAGCGGCACGCCAGGGACGCTCCGCCCCTAAGACCGCCACACTCGACCTCCACTCGATTGGCCGCTGAGTGTGGCAGTCCCAGAGAAGAAACACCTGGCCAGCCGGATTGCTACTCACGCAGCAACAGGGCCGGGCTTTCTAGGGGGTTGGGGTGGATATTTAACGTCTCTAAAGTCCCCCCTTACCACCCCGGGGGGACCGCGTAGTTGTTTAAGACCGACGCCCTCTACTAGGGTTTGTATGGTTATTCTACGGCGCGACTAATTCACACCGTAGATGGGAGAGAGAGGTTGCCTTGGAGCAGTACCCTCAAGACTGCATATTTAGAATCACCGGTGAAAGGTTGCCACACACCTTCACCTCATATCCATACGGCAACTGTAATCATGTCCCAACCTGTTTCTGCGTTTAGTAAAATAATTCGACTGCACTTGGTGGGAAGCCATGCAATCGTGCTCGTTTTAACGCAGTCTCCGTGCGTTACCTTTGCCTTTCGGCGCGGGTCCCCTACACGGTGGTACTGTTCCCCGGGTAACGCTTCAGGGGGTTCGTGGCGAGCGCCTCTTTATCAAACATGTCATTAACCGACATGACGACAAGAGCCCGGGGCCGCTAATTTACTACTAAACATGTCACATTGGGAAATGGCGACGGTGGGTCATCGAGCGCGAGCTCTTAATACCCCCCACCCAGCAAGCTGGACGCAGGGTTTCACCGCCGCCAGTCCATTCAATCATCTTTCATTTGATGCCAAATTTTGTCTTACAAACCCTACAACAATTTTTAAATTTTTTTTTTAATAAACCCAAACTCTAACTTCTCGGACCCGGGTCCGAATAGCCGCAGCCTTCCAAAAATAAAATGAACATATAATTAAAAAAAAAAACCAAAAAAAAACAAACCAAACAACAACGTAATTTACATGTTTATATCGTTTTCAAAGGGTTGTACATGTTCGTTTAACCCATGAAGGGGAGGGCAATAGTGGAACCAAGGGGAAAATCGCTACGTTCAATAAATTTGTTGTTGTTCACATGAGATGTTTTTATACACCCGTATTTATATAATTATTTTTTTAATTTTGCAAAATACCTGGTAAAAGACATCAGTGGGCGAACTGGGGCCAATCACCCCAAAATGGGGTAAAAAATGGACATCTTGGGGGAGTGGGAAGGGGTGATGAGGGCTCAATACACATAAATCAAAGTATAGGTGGGAAGGGGTGATGAGGGCTCAATACACATAAATCAAAGTATAGGTGGGAAGGGGTGATGAGGGCTCAATACACATAAATCAAAGTATAGGTGGGAAGCGTGTTTAAAAACAAAATAGAAAAGTTTTTCTGGCGATACTGCGTCTGACCTGTGTAATATTGCCATAGGCACACAGTAACTTGCGGTGACAAGTGGCTTGGCAGTTTACCTGTATTATTGCCATATAGGCACACAGTAACTTGCGGTGACAAGTGGCTCGGCAGTTGACCTGTATTATTGCCATAGGCACACAGTAACTTGCGGTTACAAGTGGCTCGGAAGTTGACCTGTATTATTGCTATAGGCACACAGTAACTTGCGGTTACAAGTGGCTCGGAAGTTGACCTGTATTATTGCGATAAGCACACAGTAACTTGCGGTTACAAGTGGCTCGGAAGTTGACCTGTATTATTGCCATAGGCACACAGTAACTTGCGGTTACAAGTGGCTCGGAAGTTGACCTGTATTATTGCTATAGGCACACAGTAACTTGCGGTTACAAGTGGCTCGGAAGTTGACCTGTATTATTGCCATAGGCACACAGTAACTTGCGGTTACAAGTGGCTCGGAAGTTGACCTGTATTATTGCCATAGGCACACAGGAACTTGCGGTTACAAGTGGCTCGAAAGTTGACCTGTATTATTGCCATAGGCACACAGTAACTTGCGGTGACAAGTGGCTCGGAAGTTGACCTGTATTATTGCCATAGGCACACAGGAACTTGCGGTTACAAGTGGCTCGGAAGTTGACTTGTATTATTGCCATAGGCACACAGTAACTTGCGGTTACAAGTGGCTCGGTAGTAGACCTGTATTATTGCCATAGGCACACAGTAACTTGCGGTTACAAGTGGCTCGGTAGTAGACCTGTATTATTGCCATAGGAGCACAATTACTATGGTTACCAGTGGTTTGGCAGCTGGCGTCCATGTATCGTCTTGTTTTCGTCATTTTTAAAAACTAGTTGCCTATTTTATCTTATGTTCAGTGGCGTCACTAGATTTGGCTGCACCCAGTGGGTACACTCATGGTGTTACCCCACACAGACTTCTCCATTGACCCCCCTCTGAAATTTTGTCTATACTCTGGTGGCACCCCTGCCCTTGTGTTAAAATTATATGTGTTATAAAACCAACTTGATCAAGGTTGATCAAATTTACTAATACTCCTTTGGCGTTATCCACTGGGAGGGAATCATCCCCATGTGAGAGTGTATTTCCCCCTTGAGGGTGTCTACCCCTTTGACGATGTCTACCCCGTTGTTGGTGTCTACCCATATGATGATGTCTACCCCTTGATGGTGTCTACCCCCCTATGGTGATGTCTACCCCCCTATGGTGATGTCTACCCCCTTGATGATTTCTACCCCCTTGATGGTGTCTACCCCTATGATGATGTCTACCCCCTATGATGATGTCTACCCCCTATGATGATGTCTACCCCCATGATGATGTCTACCCCTATGATGATGTCTACCCCTATGATGATGTCTACCCCTATGATGATGTCTACCCCTATGATGATGTCTACCCCCTTGATGATGTCTACCCCTATGATGATGTCTACCCCTTTGATGATGTCTACCCCTATGATGATGTCTACCCCTATGATGATGTCTACCCCTATGATGATGTCTACCCCTTTGATGATGTCTACCCCTATGATGATGTCTACCCCTATGATGATGTCTACCCCTATGATGATGTCTACCCCTATGATGATGTCTACCCCTATGATGATGTCTACCCCTATGATGATGTCTACCCCTATGATGATGTCTACCCCTATGAGGATGTCTACCCCCTATGATGATGTCTACCCCCTATGATGATGTCTACCCCTATGAGGATGTCTACCCCCTATGATGATGTCTACCCCTATGATGATGTCTACACCTATGATGATGTCTACCCCCTTGATGATGTCTACCCCCTTGATGATGTCTACCCCTATGATGATGTCTACCCCTATGATGATGTCTACCCCTATGATGATGTCTACCCCTATGATGGTGTATACCCCCTTGATGATGTCTACCCCTATGATGATGTCTCCCCCCTTGATGATGTCTACCCCTATGATGATGTCTACCCCTATGATGATGTCTACCCCTATGATGATGTCTACCCCTATGATGATGTCTACACCTATGATGATGTCTACCCCCTATGATGATGTCTACACCTATGATGATGTCTACCCCCTTGATGATGTCTACCCCCTTGATGATGTCTACCCCTATGATGATGTCTACCCCTATGATGATGTCTACCCCTATGATGGTGTCTAACTCCTTGTGTGGATGCCCCGCACCCCGCACCCCACACCCCGCACCCCACCCCGCACCCCGCACCCCAAGAGAAGCAGAGACTTTTCAAAATTTCTCAAAACGAGGCAGTCAAAATGTTTCTGCCTTTTGCAACGACCTTTGACCTTTGACCTTTGCGAACAAGGATCTTCCAATTAAATGAAAGCACACAAAAACGAACCCTATAA